CATTATTTTCACTGTTTTTGGCCTAAATGTCAATTCAAGACATCAACGCAATGGGAATTAACTCGATTTTATCACAATTATTAAAATCACATTGAAATTGTTTTATTGAATGAATTAATTGATGTCGAGTTAATTCCCATTGCGTTGATGTCTTGAATTGACAATTAGGCCAAAAACAGTGAAAATAATCATCAGATTCAATTAATTCATTCAATAAAACAATTTCAATGTGATTTTAATAATTGTAATAAAATTTTCAAACATAAATCAAATTTCATTAACCATAAGAAAAGCATTCATTTAAATGTGACATTTGTTTGTGATTTTAAAGATTGTAATAAAAGTTTTCAACGAAAATCATATTTAAATCTACATAAAAACAATGTTCATTTGAATTGTGGTAAAGAACTGCATTGTTTTTGGCCTAAATGTCAATTTAAAACAACAATTAAAGGCAATTATATTCAACACAAATTAATTCATTCCGATGTCAGACAATATAAATGTAATTTTAATAATTGTGATAAAAGTTTCAAACAATTGGGAAGTTTAATATCACACAAAAATTGGTTTCATTTAAACAAAAAGGAATCTAAAAATACTAAATCTAATGAATATTTGCACTGTTTTTGGCCTAATTGTGATTACAAGACAACAAATAAACGTAATTTAAAACAACACAAAGAAATTCATTCAGAAAAACGTGAATTTAAATGTGATTTTTGTGATAAGAGTTATAAACGAAACGAACAATTAGTTCATCACAAAAATGTCATTCATTTAAATAATAAGAGTTTTGTTTGTGATGTCAATGAATGCAACAAAAGATTTGCCCGAAAGAAGGATTTATTTCAACACAAAAATAATATTCATTTGAATGAAAAGCCATTCAAATGTAATGAAGAAATTTGTGGCAAAACATTCGCTAAAGAATATCTACTGAATTCTCATAAACGCATTCATTCGGGAGAAAAACCATTTATTTGTGATTTCAACGGATGTAATGCAAGCTTTAAAAGAGTTTCACATTTATCTCAACACAAAAGTAATGTTCATTTGAATGAAAGGCTAATTAAATGTGATTTTCCCGATTGTAAGCAAACCTTCAAACAAACCAATCATTTGGTCGCTCATAAAAATCGCGTTCATTTCAAACTGAGATTTGTTTGTGATTTCAATGACTGTAATAAAAGCTTTGCAGACAAATACGGATTAGTTCAACACATAAATTATGTTCATTTGAATGAAAGTAAATACAAATGTAATGAAGAAAATTGTGGCAAAAGTTTTCTCTCAAAAGAAAGCTTAACTCTACACAAACGCAGACATTCGGGAGAAAACCATTTGTTTGTGATTTTAATGGTTGTCTGAAAGCTTTTACAAGAAGTTCTGATTTAACAAACCATAAGGACTCACATTTAACTGATAAACAATTTAAATGTGATTACAAGGATTGTCGTAAACGTTTTGTCAGCAAACGATACCTTTCAACTCATATTAGACTTTGTCATAAAAAATAATTATAAAGTTATTTGTTTTTTAAATAAATCAATATTTATGCAAATCAATAATCAAATGTTGTAATCATTTGTTGTTTAGTATATCTTTTTCTTTTGAAAATATTATTTGAATCAATATATAATATATTAAAAATACAATTAAATATTGAATTAAACCTAAAAATATATTTTAAAACTTAAATAAAATTAATTTTAAAAATGTTTATATTTGTATACTTTTAAAATAAAGTGTTTTCCAAAATCTTTGTTTATTTTCAATTAGACATAAATACAATATAAGTACAAATGAAAGGCCATTATCAATATTCTTATTTATTTTAATTTACTATTGCTTGTTATTAATTTTAATAAATATAATATACTGTAAGTACAAATGAAAAGCCATAATCAGTAACATGTGTTGCCTATGGTATCCATCACTGGATGTCTGTCTCAATGAAAACCTCTTCACTATTATTACGAAATTTTGCCAAAACTCTGCTATTAATGGGTCTGTAATTAATTGAATACTTTATATAATATAGTTTATATAAAATAATATAGTTTTGTATTTTATTTTAAAAATATTAAAATATAATTGGAAGAAATTATTTTTAAGATAATTACTTACGGTTTTAATTTGCGGTAAAAATAAACGCCAATTAATAGTATAATAAAAATTATTACAACGAAAGCAATGATAAACCAATGATAACCCGAAAATAAATTATTGGTTGTGTTTTTTGGCAATTGACCAAAATCACTATTCTTCAGAATTGGTGCAGAATTGGTCATAATTTGTACCTAGATAATTTTTAATATGAAAAATTTAATTTTCATTTAATAAAACTAAACTTTATAAATAAAACTTACATTTTCTTTGCAATGCATGTTTGCAAAGCAAACGCATTGATAACTGTCCCGTCGGACGGGTAGACAAAGTTGAGAGCAGTTATGGTTAGCACAGCTATCGGTGCCGTTGGGCTGTCGGGAGGCGTCGAACACTCGCACCCCCTGTGACACGGAATACATTGGGATCAAAGTATCAGTAGTGTAGCCATCAGTCCTGCGAACACCACTTCCATCATAATTGGACCAAAATATATAACCATTGAAGACATCCATTGAAAATGGATATTTAAATAGTGTCCTATTGACAAGTATTTGCCGCAAATTACTCCCAAAATAGTCCATTGAATTCAATGAATACATGTCTTCGTCGATCCAATAGATTGTTTGTGTCATTATATCCAATGATAATGTAATTGGTTTTTGTGTCTTATTGTTGATCACCTGTACATCACTTCCGTCCAAATTGGCACTCATTATACGTCCCGTATATTTATATGATTTATATTTATATGTATATTGAGTCCACACGAGTAGGCACTCCAATGGGTCGACCGCCACATCCTCTTGTGCTTCAGAGTGTGTGATCACATCATATGAATATGTATTACCGGATATTGTGTACACTTGTATGCCTTTCCACACCGATATGTACAATAACTCGTGGACCCAATCGTATGCCATATACTTAATGTCAACAATCATACGTTTTTCATCTTTTTGAAAAATCAGTGTTTTATTATTTGGATATTTTGAGGGCTGATTCATATCAATTGATCGCACGTATAGTATCCATACATTGTTATCATACTCGTTCTTTTGCTCTAACCATAACATGTAATTGTATTTATAATTATAATCAAATTCTGCAGTCAATTGCGAACTCGGATACAAAGGGATTGAATCAAAATAATTAACCGTAAAATTATAGATATGTTTTGTAACGTAAATTCCCTCATAATTTCTGCCAAAGATTAGATACGTTTCGTTTGCGATCAGTTTGAACGGTGGGAACATGTCTTCAATGGCGACAGGTGTTGGTGTTGTCGTCGATTCATTTCCTGGTGAACAGTCAGTAGTACTGACTCAGTACCCGTCCAGACCTGACCCTCAATACAACTACAAGTATAGTTGTATTGATTATACTTTGGTGTCGGTAGACATAGCTGTGAACACATGTGGTTTGCGCACCAATTAGTGGCCATCGGTTGCTGGGATTTGTTGATTACTTTCAGACCGCATAAGACAACACCCGATTGGACCACAACTGTGGCCGATTCGAGGGCCAACTTTGACCGACTAATCGGTGCCCTCATTATCGTATAATTTTTCTCTTCAGTCCAATATAGATAACCCGCATATATATTTAGAAATGAAAAGCTGTCAATATTACGGGACTCGTAGTGAACGTGCCTATCGGTGCCCTCGTATGACACGCTATACAGTGCGCTAATATAGCCCTTATAGTCGGCCAACTTTATTTTCCCGGCCCAATAGATACGACGCTCATTGGTGTCAACCGCCAAACTATAGCTCACTATTAACTCAGGTCTGACGAGCACTCGTACGTGCCGTCCGTCTTGTGTCGACCGCATTATACGTCTCGTCTGTTGTCTGTCGCGGTCGTCGTAATTGTAATCAAATGGATTACGACGACAAATGCCATTGTTTTCACTCCAGAAGAGTAACGCTTCCAACGGATCCACTCGTATGTCATTAATTAGACATTTGTTTTGTTTAATAATAGGGAACAGTTGTCTGGAGCCGGACATCATGTTCGCCGCATATATGCCGTTATCTTGGCTTTCATAGGGCCCACAAATGGGCACATATACTATATTATGAATCCAATCCATGGCTAATGATTGATCAAATGAGGAAGTTTTATAATCGTGGTCAAAATAAATCAAACTAGTAGAATTTTGGTTAATTGTCAATGATTGGCTTGATAATTTCCAGTTTAACTCGTTTCTCATGATGAATATCAAATTATTGTTGGCAATATTAAAGTCAAATTTATCAATTTTATCATCGCTTTGGTAAACAAACTCTGATTGAGAATAATATATGGTATGATTGCCATCAGTGGACAGTCGGGCCAAACGTATGTCCCTTTCGGATGCCGTAAACATGAGTAACGGCTCATCCGTTGCCATCAATAGAGACAATGCAGTGATGTTTGCCGTCTGTTTAGGTATGGCTTGAAGTGCGGGAAGTGTTGTATTAATATCACTACAGAACTGGTTGTGCGGACACAGACACCGATAGCCGTGTTTGCCGTTTGGGACACAAATGTGTTCACAATTAGTGTCTTTGCAATAATCAGTTCCTGATTTCTGTTTCGATGAATGTATAATACGTACAAAATCTATATTATCATTAGATTTAACCACAGTTTTAATATTAAAAGCCCTTATATTATCATTTAAATCAAGTTTTACTATTGTTTTATTTGTTGTCCAAAATAATAATCCATTGAACAAATCCATTGATAAACAGTCGGCAAATAATTGCTTTGAAAACAATAATGTTTTTCTATTATTTCCGTTATAATCAATGGATGACAACGAAAGCAATTCATTATCAATCCATACAATAGTTTGTGTTGTGAAATCAATTCCCAAACAATTTGGTTGTCGTATGTCTTCGTAGACCAGTATCTGTGGATCAGATCCGTCTTCATTGCATTTCCTGATAACTGCCAAACCGTTTGGTAAGTGATATTCAGACCAAACAATAAACCCGTCAAAAGGGTTGACCACAATGTGTCCAAACTTCCAGTAGTCATACTTTATACTGGATTTATTGGTTACGGCAGAACTCACTCCCGGATTATTCACATGAATTACATTAACGTTTGTGTCATTGAAATAAAACACTAGATTATGAATCCAATCGATGGCTAGATGTTTATTACTTGTGGTTTTATTAAGCAAAATAAGATTTTTGGTGAGTTGTAGAGTAGATTTTGTAGAATTTGAATAGATGTTTCCATTGAACTCAGCTTGGTACATTGGGTACGGGTAACCACGTCTGATCCACACAATATACTTATCATTAACATTGATATCCAAACTATAAATATTATAATTAATGTCTAGAGCTGTGGGCGCTTTCCGGGCGACGATCACATCCCGGCCCTCGACATCCATTTTATCATAATTAATACCGAGATCTTTCTCGTTGAATATTATTAATGCCGGTTCAGTAGCGCCGGTATTTTTGGCATATAATATTGAAGTTAGAGTTAAAATCATTATTGAATATAAATATTTATTCATGGTGAATGATTAAATATTGATATTTAATTTACATTAAAACTTATTTGATTTTATTTGTATTAATCAATACATAGATGTTTAATAGGATTTTCCTGTCGTTTCTATAAAATTTGTGATAAACTAAATGTTTATTATGGTAAACTAACGTATAACTTAATCTTGATAAAAGTTTTCTCGCAAAACAATCATTTAACTGTTTATTATTTTAAACATTGAATTACATTTATGTTTATAAATGTATTTTACATGAATTGAGATAATAATTACATTTAAATATGAATTCAATGTTTAGTTTAATCTTAATCTTAAACTTATCATGATTTATGTTTAATCGTATGAATATTTTTTGAACGCTCTCTTTGTTACGATGTCGTAAATTATGACCATGAATATTCTTACTTATTTTAATTTACTATTGATTGTTATTAATTTTAATAAATATAATATTCTGTAACTACAAATGAAAAGCCATAATCGGTAACATGTGTTGCCTATGGTATCCATCACTCGATGTTTGTCTCAATGAAAACCTCTTCACTATTATTACGGAATTTTGCCAAAACCTTGCTATCAATGGGTCTGTAATTCATTGAATACTTTATTATAGTTTTGTATATTTTATTTTAAAATTATTAAAATATAATTTGAATAAATTATTATTACTATAATTACTTACAGTTTTAATTTGCGGTAAAAATAAACACCAATTAATAATAAAATAATAATTATTATTACAATGAAAGCAATGATAAACCAATGATAACCCGAAAATGAATTATTGGTTTTTTTCTCTGGAAATTGACCAAAATCACTATTGGTCATAATCGGTGCATAATTGGTCGTAATTTTGACCTAGATAGTTTTTAATGTAAAAATATACCTCAATTAAAAATTTGATCTTTATTTCTAAATTAAATTATAAATAAAACTCACATTTTCTTTGCAATGCATGTTTGCAAAGCAAACACATCGATAACTGTCCCGTCGGACGGGTAGACAAAGTTGAGAGCAGTTATGGTTAGTACAGCTATCGGTGCCGTTGGGCTGTCGGGAGGAGTTCAACACTCGCACCCCTTGTGACACGGATTGCATTGGAATAAGTGTATCAGTAGTGTGGCCATCAGTCCTGTGAACACCACTTCCATAATTGAACCAAAATATATAACCATTGAAGACATCCATTGAATATGAGTTACTAAATAGTGTCTTATTGACGAGTATTTGCCGCAAATTATCCCCAAAATAGTCCATTGAATTCAATGAATGCATATCTGTGTCAATCCAATAGATTGTTTGTGTCATTATATCCAATGATAATGTAAATGGTGATCGTGTCTTATTGTGGATCACCTGTACATCACTTCCGTCCAAATTGGCACTCATTATACTTCCTGGATATTCAGTTGAATATGAATATGTATATTGAGTCCACACGAGTAGGCACTCCAATGGGTCGACCGCCACATCTCCCTGTATTTCAAAGTGTGTGATCACATCATATGAATATATATTACCCGATATTGTGTACACTTGTATGCCTTTCCACAGCGATATGTAAACCAATTCGTGGACCCAATCGTATGCCATATTTTTAATCATAAAATGCATACTTTTCTCATCTTTTTGAAAAACCAATGTTTTATTATTTGGATATTTTGAGGGCTGATTCATATCAATTGATCGCACGTTTAGTACCCATCGATGGTCATAATACTCGTCTTTTTCTTTCTCTAACCATAACATGTAATTGTGTTCATAATTATAACTCAATTTTGTAGTCATGTGCGAACTCTTATACAATCGGATTGAATCAAAATAATTAATCGTAAAATTATAGATATGTTTCGTAACGTAAATTCCCTCATCATTTCTGGCAAACATTAGATACGTTTCGTTTGCAATCAGTTTGAACGGTGGGAACAAGTCTTGAGCGACAGGTGTTGGTTGTGTTGTCGTCGATTCATTTCCTGGTGAACAGTCAGTACCCGTCCAGACCTGACCCTCAATACAACTACAAGTATAGTTGTATTGATTATACTTTGGTGTCGGTAGACATAGCTGTGAACACATATGGTTTGCGCACCAATTAGTGGCCATCGGTTGCCGGGATTTGTGTACTACTTTCAGACCCCATAAGACTTTACCCGATTGGACCACAACTGTGGCCGACTCGGGCGCCAACTTTGACCGACCAATCGGTGCTCTCATTATCGTATAATTTTTCTCTTCAGTCCAATATAGATAACCCGCGTATATATCTATGAATGAATGGCTAACGATATTAGCGGACTCGTAGTGAACGTGCCTATCGGTGCCCTCGTATGCCACGCTATACAGTGCGCTAATATAGTCATTATAGTCGGCCCAATACGGGCCTAGTCTTGCGGCCCAATACAAGCGCTGTTCATTGGTGTCAACCGCCAAACTATAGCTCACAATTAGCTCCGGCTCGACGAGCACTCGTACGTGCCGTCCGTCTTGTGTCGATCGCATTATACTTCTTGTCTGTTGGCTCTCGTCGTTGTCGTACTCGTAATCGGAATCGTATGAATTGCGACGACTATTGACATTGTTTTCACTCCAGAAGAGTAACGCTTCCAACGGATCCACTCGTATGTCTTTAGTCACGCACTCCTCTTGTTTAATAATAGGGAACAGTTGTCTGGAGCCGGACGTCATGTTCGCCGCATATATGCCGTTATCTTGGCTTTTATAGGGCCTACAAATGGGCACATATACTATATTATGGATCCAATCCATGGCAAGTGAGTGATAATTCGTGGAAGTTTTAAGATCGTGGTCATAATAAACCAGCCTAGTATTATTTTGGCTAAATGTCAACGATTGGCTCAATAATTGACATTTCAAGTCGTTTTTCATAATGAATATCAAATAATTGTTAGCAATATTATAGTTAAATGCATAAATGTCATCATCGCTTTGGTAGACAAGCTCTGATTGAGAGTAATATATGGTATGATTGCCAGCAGTGGAAAGTCGGGCCAAACGTATGTCCCGTCCATAGGATGTAAACATGAGTAACGGCTCATCCGTTGCCATCAATAAAGACAATGCAGTGATATTTGCCGTCTGTTTAGGTATGGCTTGAAGTGCGGGAAGTGTTGTATTAATATTACTACAGGACTGGTTGTGCGGACACAGACACCGATAGTCGTGTTTGCCGTTTGGGACACAAATGTGTTCACAATTACTGTCTTTGCAATAATCAGTTCCCGATTTCTGTTTCAATGAATGTATAATACGTACAAAATATATATTATCTTTAGATTTAACCACAGTTTTAACTTTAAAAGCCTTTATATTATCATTTAAATCAAGTTTTATTATTGTTTTATCTGTTACCCAAAATAATAATCCATTGAATAAATCCATTGATAAACAGTCGGCAAAAAATTGTTTTGAAAACAATAATGTTTTTCTATTATTTCCATTATAATCAATGGATGACAACGAAAGCAATTCATTATCAATCCATACAATGGTTTGTGTCGTGAAGTCTATTGCCAGACATTTCGGTTGTCGTATGTCTTCGTAGACCAGTATCTGTGGATCAGATCCGTCTTCATTGCATTTCCTGATAACTGCAAAACCGTTATAAAAGTGATATTCAGACCAAACAATAAACCCGTCAAAAGGGTTGACCACAATCTGTCCAAACCTCCAGTAGTCATGCCTTATAATGGGTTTATTGGTTACGGCATAACTCACGCCCGGATTATTGACATGAATTACATTAACGTTTGTGTCGTTGAAATAAAACACCAGATTATGGATCCAATCGATGGCCAGATGTTTATCACTAGTTTTGTTAAACAAAATCAGACTTTTGGTCAGTTGTAGCGTAGATTTTATAGAATTTGCATAGATGTTTCCATTAAACTCAGCTTGGTACATTTGGTACACAATAAATCCACCGATCCACACCATATACTTATCATTAACATTGATATCCAGGCTATAAATATTATAATTAATGTTCAGAGCTGTGGGCGCTTTCCGGGCGACGATCACATCCCGGCCCTCGACATCCATTTCCTCGTAGTTAATACCGAGATCTTTCTCATTGAATAGTATTAATGCCGGTTCAGTGGCACCGGTATGTATGGCATATAAGATTGAAGTTAAAGTTACATTTATCACTATTAAATATAAATATTTATTCATGATGTACATTAAAAATTTAATTTACATTAAAAACTAAAAACATTTTACGTGTAATAAGAAATACAGAGTTTTTTAATAAATTTTACTGTAATTTATATATAATTTTTGTGATAAACTTAATGTTCATTAATTTTAATATCATTTAATCACGATAAACGTTTTTTCGCAAAACAATCATTTAATTGTTTATTATTTTTAACACTGAATTACAATTATGTTTATAAATGTATTTCACATTAATTGAGATAATATTTACATTTAAATATGAACTAAATGTTTATGTTAATTCTTAATCTTAAACTTATCATGATTTATGTTTAATCATATGAACATATTTTGAACGCTTTCCTTTATGCCAAACTCACAACATAAGACAATTCATTATCAAATATTGCAAAATGCAATTATTTTTAAATGATTCTAATGTGACATGATCGGTTAAATTGAATAAACATTAATTACACATTTTCCCGAATTGGACTGTTTTACTCCCGGTTTCTGACATTTTTCTATATGTTCTTATTTCCGAATATTTCGAGCTCTAGTTATGAACCTCAATATATAGAAACATTACATTTCAGACTAAAAACAGCATATTTTGATGTAAACAGGTTTTCACTATCAATGAGAGCACGTGTTGTAAAGCATTTCCCATTTCAACCATTTTCTTATAAATAGCCGTTTGATTCACATTAGTTTTGCATTGAATTGTGTTTCATTTATATTGAATTTAATTTGTGTTCAATTTTTTTTGATTGAAAATGTGTTCAAAATTAATGAGTGTTTCGTTGATTGAAATGAAGAGTAAATTCAATGCAATGAAGAGTTTGTGTGAAATAATAGACAAAATTCAGTGTATTTTGAATACAAATAATAGTGTTTTGTGTGAAGCGATTGAATGCGAAAATAATGATTATTTTTCAATCAATCAAACAATTGATTGCAATTCATGTAAAATCAGTGATAAAATGCTAAACAATTGTCATATCATTACTAAATCTGATGATTATTTTCACTGTTTTTGGCCTAAATGTCAATACAAGACAACTCATAAGTGGCTATTTAGTCAACATAAATTACTACATTCAAAACCAAAACAATTTAAATGTGATTTTAATAATTGTCATAAAAGTTACACTCAATCGGGAAGTTTACTTAAACACAAAAATTCTGTTCATTTAAATGTGAGATTTATTTGTGATGTCAATGAATGCCACAAAAGTTTTACTGAAAAACGGCTTTTAATTCAACACAAAAGTTGTGTTCATTTGAATGAATCTGAATTCAGATGTAATGAAGAAAATTGTGGCAAAATTTTTGTTTCAAATAACGGTTTAATTAAACACAAACGCATTCATTCGGGTAAAAAGGCTTTTGTTTGTCATTTCAATAAATGTGATAAAAGTTATGCAAATAAAAATGACCTTAAAATACACACAAATAGTATTCATTTAAATGTGAGATTTATTTGTGATTTCAATGAATGTCACAAAAGTTTCTCAACAAAACGTCATTTACTTCGACACAAAAGTTGTGTTCATTTGAATGAAAGAAAATACAAATGTAATGATGAAAATTGTGGCAAAATATTTGCCATAAAACAAACCCTAATTTTCCACAAACGCTGGCATTCGGGAGACAATCCATACGTTTGTAATGAACAAAATTGTGGCAAAAAATTCACTTCAAAAGGAAGTCTAATTTCACACAAATATATGCATTCGGGAGAAAAACCATTTGTTTGTGATTTCAATGAATGCCACAAACGTTTTGTTCGTAAATCAGATCTTATTTCGCATAAATTCATTCATTCGGACGAAAAACCATTTGCTTGTGATTTCAATGATTGTAATAAACGTTTTAAACAAAAGTGTGCCTTAAGAAAGCATAAAAATATTCATTTAACTGTAAAACAGTTTAAATGCACAATAAATGATTGTGGTCAACGTTTTGTATGTAAACAATATTTACGAAGTCATATTAAACATTGTCATCAAAAGTAATTAATTGTGTTCATTGCAATTAATGCCCAATAATTAATAATTATTAATTATACAATATTTATAATATTTTGATTTATTTCTATTAATTTATTGCCAATTATTGTAACTGTTTTCAAATAATAAGTTAATTTTTCATTATATTTATTGATAAATTGTATTTATTAAATGAACCACTGTAATAATAAATACAGAGTAACAATCCTGCATCAAAAAAATGCATAAATCTAATCCTGCAAAATGCTTGAAAGTTGCAAATGCTTAAAACTATTTAAGCACTTATGCTTGAATTTGTCATTTTGTGGACGTAATTTTGTCCCAAACCAGAGGTGCAGAAAATAATTTAGTCACAAAATCACATCTCAAAATCATACACAATGACACAATACAATTCATTAGTTTAATAGGAAAACATATTTGACTATATGTCATGTTTATAAACAGTCATGCATGTTGAAATTAATAGGTTATCTATAAAGAGTACTATTAAATGATACAGAATTAACATTGTCAGCATAGCTCAGTTGGTAGAGCTTTGGCTACTAATTCTAAAGGCCCTGAGTTCGATCACCGCCTCGTCACTTTTTCAAACTTTTTTTCACATTTAATTATCACCTATGTGTATTTATATTTAAGCATATACATGCATTTAAAATTAAGCAACTAGTAATCCTGCAGCTAGGCTTAATTATTAGTCGTATCATAAAGTCTTTTTGGCCTGATTATGAGTAGGACCTAAATATGAGTGTATGTAACATACCGTATGTTTGAATTGATCGGTTGTGTATTGGAATTGATATATAGCTAATAGTTTAGTTTATTAATGGATAAATTATTTGCAATTGTGTTAGAGTTTAAACAAATCCGGGTTCGCGTGAAAAAGTATGCAAATTGAAACTTGGTTATAGTTGTCGACTAATTTAAGTAAATAAAAGCACATTAAATGTAATTGAAATACACTATAATTTATAGCTCTTTCAAAATAAGAGACTTCTTATCAATTGATGTTAACTTTCAATACGATATAATAAAATGAAAACAAGCGATAAAAATATTTTATCAATACTTTTTATGCATTTGTAATATATTTATAGCTTATATAAGCTGTGGGTATAAATTGTATTTATTTAAAGGTATAAACAGGTATTCACATTACGTTATCATATTTTATACCAAAAACCAATTTGTAAGAAATAAATCGTAAAATGTAAGAATAGGCAATAATAATATACTTTTTAACATCACTTTATTTATTCCAATTGCTTAAAACAATTACTCGCTTTTAATATTTAAATTTTAATAAAATAAATCATTAAATATAATAATTTTTAGTACAGTATTACAGTTAAACAAATTAAAACTTAACTGTAAAGACTAGAAATGAACAACACTTACGAATTGTTAGATAAACTATATATACAACTATAACATATTATGTATTAAGTTAATAGCCTATAAATAAACTATTATAAATTTAATTTAAATTATATTCTATAAAATCAATATCTTTATTAAAATTTAATAATTTATTTGCTTTAATGTTTTCTAAAAGCTTTTTCATCGCTTGAATATCAGCTTTGACTCTAAATGCATAGCCATTAGTATCGATATCTTTATCCATGGCTTCCAATTTGATTCTCACAGATATTTGTCGCAAACAATCAAACAATTCGGTAAAATTCATACCGAAATGCATTTTAAGTAATTTCTGGCATTCATTATGCCATTCCTCTGAGTCTATAATAGTCTTCAAATCGGATATTTCTGTCTCTACTTCTCGCAGGGCTATCATTAAATTGGAAACAATCACAAGAATATTCGTGCCGTTAAACCAGTTATGGTTAATAGAAATGGTGTCCTCAATGTTGACCACTTCGTGGATATAACCGCTGGGAATGAAAATAATTTCTCCCCGTTTTTGGATCACTTCGTAGCCATTCATTGCTCTTAAATGAGTCCACGAATTGTCAATTGAATGAAAACTGTGGGGCATTTCGTCGTTGTTTAAGGATTTTATTCTGCTTTCATTTCCCGGAGGAATAATGAGCCACTTCTTAGCCCCGCATACGTTCGCCGACCAACTGAACGATCCGAAGACATCCACATGTAATGGAGTGCTATTGAGATAACGAGTGGTTAATTAAGATTAAATTGAAGAGTATATAGAGAAAAGTCTATACGAGGAGTGTTTTGGTCCCATATATACGAATCTGAAGTCATCACTCAATTGGTCCGCAATGAAGGCCTCGTTAACCCAATCGGACTCAAAATATACGGGTCTTTCGTATGCGTTATATTCGGGGAACTGATTGACAAAATGCCAGTCTTTGAGGTATAATATCTTCGTATCGTTTGATTCGTAATTATAATCAAGTTTTTGAACACTTCTCCAGTAATCCATGTATTCATTGAAAGTCATCTCTTGTTTGGCATTTGAGTTGAAATACTTTGTATTACAATCAGAGACCGGAACCACTGCATGGCCTGAGAGTAGATCCAGACATTAAATCACAACAAATGATCAATTGATTGCCACAACTCACCAAAGAGTCGGCTCAAGACATCCAAATCGGGTTTGCCATCCGATGTCAACCACTCGTGAGTACTTCTCCAGTGTTTGGTCAGGCCTTCAAATATACAAACTTTGTTTTTGACCATCAATTGGTCGTAAAAGTACTCATAACTAGTGTTTGCATCGAGTCTTGGGATCAGTTCACACATCACTAGTGATGGACTGATTGACAGTATTGTTGACAACAAATCACGTGTTGTTATGAATGAGTGTTTTGTTTACAAAACAAGTGTTCAGTCATTGAATGGCAAAACAGTGAACACATGATTGGTTTGAGTGATCATCACTTCCAGTGAATCCAATGGCAATCGACTCCTTCAGCGAAGACGAGTCGCCACTGATATACGGCCTCGAGTTTCAGAGCCGATGTCTGTGCAGCTCATCCAATGTGGACACGAGTGGTTCCCACGGATTCGTACGCTTTCTTGTGGGCACACAATCGCTGAAGAGTGAGAATCAGATCCATTTGTTGGAGTATTTGGAGGAAACCAATAGTCTGTCGAAAGCGGTGTTCAGACACTCTGGCGGTGAGGTGTGGGACGTGTCAACACATCCCAAGCACTGCCATCTCATCACAACCTGCTATTCCTCGCAATCGCAATCATATGCCGGCAAAGTGGACAACAACTGCTCTCTTTGGACACTTCCAGTCGATATGTCGAAGCCGTTGACCGACGAGGACTCGACCACCTCTGGCCAGTTGACCAAAGTTTGCGATTTGGTGCCGACGGGCGAAGAGAGTAGTATCGGTCGGACCACTGTTTGGCACCCGGAAGACGGCCATCAGATCATGTCTTTCACTGAAAACAAACTCTTCTTATGGGATGTGGAGAGCCATAAGAATGTGTCGACGATTAGCGCCGACTTCAATGTGAACACAAAGAGCGCCAATCGATTCAATAAGATAACCACTTTTCGATGGAGTCCTCACTCCAACTGCGGTCTCATAGGAATCGCTAATTCCAACTGTATTTACGCCAAAGACCTGCGCGTGAAGAGCGGTTCCAACGTAAACGCCTGGTCTATACCTAACTCTCACTCGCAATTGGTTCGCGATCTGGACTTTAATCCTAACGCTCAGTACTATTTGTCAAGTTGTGGCGACGACTGCGAGACACGCTTTTGGGACGTCCGCAACACAACACAACCGGTCCTATCGATGACCAATCACTCGCATTGGGTTTGGTCTGTCAGGTATAACCTCTTCCACGACCAACTCGTGCTCACGTCCAGCAGTGACTCCCGAGTAGTGCTCATAAGAGCCGTTTCGGTCGCCTCTCAACCGTTTGGTCACCTTTTGGAGGAAGAGATCGCCGATGAAGACAATGGAGTGACACATAAGACTTCGATGGCCAGCGATGGTGTGATCGCCACATATGAGGAGCACGAGGACAGTGTGTATGCGGTGGAGTGGTCTGCGAGCG